TTTGACTGCCCATCAAGGTTTCTGATGTGTAGTAGGAGCTGAACTTAGAAAAATAGTTCAAATATTAAGATAGGGTTCTTAATTAAAGTGATCAGTTACATTGCTAAAACAATTATTTAAGTAAAGTCATTTTTTGATTGTGATATTTAATAACATCTCTAGATAAGGAATCAACAGAGGAATTAATAGTAGTGAAAGCTGTCAGACTTTATTTGTTGTCAGTGGCTCATTTCTACACATTCTTAGTCATGGAGAGAAATAAGTGACCTGTAAGTAATTAGTCTTCAATAAATTTCTTTGAGTATACTTCTTTATTTAATTTTTTTAACATCTATTTATTTTTGAGAGACAGAGGGAGACAGAGCATGAGCAGGGGAGGGGCAAAGAAAGAGGGAGACACAGAATCCGAAGCAGGCTCCAGGCTCTGAGCTGTTAGCACAGAGCCTGGCGTGGGGCTCGAACTCACAGGCCGTGAGATCATGACCTGAGAAGTCGGACGCTTAACCAACTGAGCCACCCAGGGGCCCCTAAAGTCACTTTCAGCACTGGTTCTCTGAGTATAAATGGCAAATTTTATAATTCTCATGACCTTCCATTTATTTCTTAGAATTAATATTTTGGGGGTAGCATGTCCATCTTACCTTTGACCTTCTTTTCAGTGAATATCACCTTATGGATACTTTTTATGAAGACTATGTGTAGAATAGTATATGCTTGGTCTTCATTTGATACTGACGTGGAAAACATCAGGGTTTCAAGTGAGTTTACCCTTCTCTAAGCAAAAAATTAGTAATGTCCTTTGTCTCCTAGTTCATGTTAAACTACCTAAGACCTTTCTGTTCTTGGCATATAAACTAGGCTCTGTCAACACTTAGGATTTGAAACTGCCCAGTTCTTGGATTATCCTGGTCTGTTGTTTTTTGTCTTTTTTTTCTTAATAGTATTGTCATAATTAAATACAGGGCTTCTACTTAAGTAGCAAGAGTAAGTTAATAAAAACAAAATGCACTCCACTAATAAAATATCATCACTACTTTGAAAGTAACCATTTTACTATAGCATTAATGCAGTACTTTTTAGAGTTTAGTAGGAACTCACTAAATGCTTCGAATGAATGAATGCTGAAGATACTCATGGTAAAATAGAGAAGTATAGTTTTTAAAAGCCTGCTACTATAATAAAACTTTTTAGTGTCACTTACACATTTTAAACTTATTAATGTACCCAGTAATGGAAAATCAGAATTGACTCAGTATGTTGATAGTTCATTAGAGAGCTAATGCTTTCATGTCTGGAAGTAAATATCATCTTTAGGATTCTGATACTCTTTGCACCTGTGGACCGTATTAGGCCCTATTATGTGTTCATATGTATGTTTTGCAGTTCAGACTCCCAAACTGAACTAATTCCCACATTCTCTCCATACAATCACAATATTGTTTACTAAATTGAAAATTTTGCAGTTTTAAATAGAAATAAACTCCCTGCCAAATTTTACAAGATCAAAAAGCATTAGAATGTGTATTTTGGCTGCGTTAGCTCTTCTTTACAAACCCTTATCGGGTTCACATTTGCCTCTAAAAAGCTTTCTGAATTTTATTTATTCATTGCAAGCCACTGAGGTGATACTTTAAGGCAACTTTGAGACACGAAAATAAAAGTATTGTCTAATGGAACCACCGCCGTTGCAGATCTATGCCAGATAACATTAAATATAGTAATTTATGATCGGGGTAGGAATTTGGTCTACAATCTCAGAAATAGTCTACACAATGATTTTTAAAGTTAGCAGGTCCTACCACTGCTTACCCCTCTGAGAGCCAGGTAGCGGTGTGTGTCGGAAATTCAAATTTCTGTTGAGTGGGTTTTCTGTAGTGAGCTAGCCTGGCCGCTAAACACAATGTAGAGCTTGGAAAAAAACGTTATTATCTGGCCTTCAGCATGTGGTAAAGTTGATGTTTGTGGACAAGGAGATAAGGGACAGACCTGCATTTTGTGAAATTTTAATTAGCTCATGACTTGTTGCAAAACAAAACAACAAATAAACAACAACAAAGAAAAACCAAGCAAATAGAACAAAACCTGGTGGGACCCCTAACATAGTCTGAGGGAACACAGGCAAATGTGGGGGCCTAGGCTGGGAGGTACAGTTGCAGAGGCACAAGAGATGCAGAAATGTTTCCAGTAACATATTTGTGTGTGTGATTTCTTTATCACTTGACTCAAACTGTCAAAAAAAAAAAAAAAAGTAAGTTGTAAGTGACAACAGGAATTAGGCTTGGTGAAAAATGTATGAAATCAGAAATTGTATTCAGTGGGTAGACTATTTCTTGAGCAGAGCTAATGAAAGAAATGTGGTCTCTGTATCAAAGCAATAGCACTAAGACTTGGCTAAAGCCTTCTGAAAAATTTTAAATATTATACTGACATTATTAAAAATTGTCTTAATTACCCCTCATTAACTGAATGGACAAGATAGAAGTAATCATAATCATGTTTTAAAATGCCTTTGTTATCCCAGAGACTATATCACTTTCAAAATTTTCCAGCATGAAATTTTTTACACCAAGTATAAAGTTTCACAAGACCTAGTAAATGTTACTAGGAGATATGAGGTGGAATTTCATTTTAGCAAAGCCATCAGGAAGTAGAGAAACCTATTGTCATGGTTCACAGAAGTGAATTTTTAAGAACTTGTATAGTAACTGTAACCGAGAAATATATTTAAGGTTTGTGCATCATAAATAAGAATAGTAATAATAATAAATGAATACCCATTTACTCACCATCCAGCTTTATAGAACACAATCCATACCTACAAGGCCACCTTATGCTCCCAACCAATTGCTTCTCTTTCCATGGAGATAACTGTTAGTGTAGCTTTTCTGTTAATCCTTCTTTTTTTTCCTTCGTAGTTATACCGCACATGAATCTATCCTTAGGCAATAAGTTGTTTAATTTTTCTTGTTTTAAACTTTATATAAATGTAAGTACAACTGTAATTGTTCGAAATTTGCTTTTTTCCCCCCACTCAGTTGGTTTTTCAGTTTCACCCCAACTGATGCATGTAGCTATAGATCATTAATTTTCCCTATTTTCTCTGCTGCATACTGTACCATTGTATGCATATACCATGGTATGCACATGTGTTCTAATGTAGATGGGTATTTAAGGTTGCTTCCAGTTCTTAGCTTTGTGACAAAGAGTGTTGTTATGAACAAGTTTGCACATGTCTCATGGTACACATGTGCAAGAATTTCACTGGGGTAGCCAGGAGTGGTATTACTGGCTTGAAGTTGCATATTCAACCTTATTGGGTCATGCCAAACTCTTCCAAAGTAAGTGTATAAATGTTCTCATGACTTTACATCCTCACTAACACCATGTCAAGTTCCAAAAATGATAACCCGGTTACTCCATGCCTTTTTTTGTGGTCACTTTGTGTTCAGGTGTTAGAACCTGGTGCTATTCAGGTAGAATAGCCAATTCCTCTTGCAGATATATAGCCCTAAGAGTTCCTGTTTCACAGTTGACAATAGAAGTAACATCATTGGACTGTTAAGTCAAGGAAGAAATTGTTTGAAGTGAGATTCCAAATCTATGAAGAAAATATATCTGTGGCATTTAATAACCAGAACATAGAGGTTTTAAAAAATTTTTTTTTATTTTTTAAAATGTTTTATTTATTTTTGAGAGAGAAAGAGAGTGAGCATGAGTGGGGAGGGACAGAGAGAGAGGGAGACACGAAATCTGAAGCAGGCTCCAGGCTCTGAGCTGTCAACACAGAGCCTGACGCGGGGCTCGAACTCATGAAACATGAAATCATGACCTGAGCCGAAGTCAGACGCTTAACTGACTGAGCCCCAGTTCAGGTACCCCAGAACATACAGTTTTATATGACACAAATGTCACAATTTCTAACATGCCTGAGAGTCTTATCTATAACAATTTATTAATTTATTGAAGTAGGTAAATTGTTTATTAAAAAATAAACTCAGTCCTTGAAAAAGTCAGCATTTTATTCCTAGCAAATAATATGTTAAGCCCAGAATTTAATGTTTATGATAGTAAAATTGTAACTTTGGTATGTTTTAAAAAGCACTATCAAACCTTCGAAAACAGTGGCTTTTTCTTCTCTATTCTTATTAAAACTAGCCTAGTCCTGGTCTATTTCATAGCTTCCTATCTATTCTTTTTTCTTCAAGACCCTCAAGATTGGATCCTTATCACTTCAAATACAGACTCTTCCACCTTGTTTTCCATTTTCCAAAAATGGTTCATATTTAGGGTAATTTTCTACTCCTCCTTGAAGACAGTAGCAGTATGCCATAGTGGAAGGGGCCGTAGGGCCACAGACATGATATTCCTTTCTGTTCTGCCAGTTACTAGCTGAGTGGTCATAGGCAAGTAACTTGACTTCACTGAATCTTAGTTTCCACAGTTACCAACTTCAGCATTTCCTAAGATTGTTAGATAAATATCTATAAAGTACCTAGTAGTTTAGTGCCTCATACGTAATAACTTCCATGTGCAAAGTAAGTGCTGCACTGTGCACTTTGCACATGTTATCTTTGATTTTTAAACGAATACTGCAAAAATAAAGGAAGCCTAGACTCTGGATGATTAAATAAATTGCCCAAGGTCCCCCAGCTTATAAAGGATTGAGCTGTTCCTCAGTTTTAGGTGTGCCTGACTTTAGAGGCCAGGTGCTCTCATGACTGGCCACACCACAGCATCTGCACTCTACTTTTACCACACCACACCTATCTCTCTCCTCTGAATTCTTTGCAACTCTGTCTCTTATGCACAATTTTCATTTTATTGTATTGTAATAGTTTCATACAAATAGGTCACTCTTTGAAGCCACAGACCTTATTGTCTTTTATTTCTCATAGCCCAGAGTATCACACACCTGTAAAGTACTCAGTAAATATTTGATTTATATAATACTACCTCTCATTGCGTTTCACCAGTTTTAATACTTTATATCCTTTTTACAGCTCATTTCAGCGGCCACATGACACTCTCCATTTGGATGACGGTGAATACTGGTCCAACAGGGCAGCGTCTTATAAAGGAAAATCCCACCGACCCCTCTTTGAGAACAGCATGGACAAGATATACAGGAACTTATACAAAAAGGCCTGTAGTTCTGTTTCTCACACCCAGGAAAGCTTCTGAGACCATCCATGATAAACTATATGGGTGTCTGTGTCAACTTCTCAATGAAAACGTTTGATGTGATCAATATCTGTATTCTTTTTTTTTTTTTTTAAGGTGGTTCTGAGTACAGTAGTTAGATGTGAGTAAGTTCATTACTTCAGGTGGTAAATGATTGTAGGCAATCCTTTTCTTCATCATAGAAGAGAGTGCTCTGTCCCAAAAGTCAAAGCTCCACACTGCATCACAACTTCCAATCTGGTTATGAGAAAAGGCTGTTTTGCCCCGTAACCTCCTGTCTCCACCCACACATCCAAGAATAGATTCTCTCTGGAAATGCTCTCCTGCCTTAATCACCTTATGATTTTATTTTCATCTGTTTGATTAGTTATCTTGTCTAAGATTAACATTAACTCCCTTTTCTTGATAATGACCAAAATGATATACTGTATAGAAGTGAAATGAATTTCCTGAGTTTAAACATCATTTTAACTAGTATTTTTTATTTACTTCTCCCTGCAGAAAATTTATACTTCTTAGCTAATAAGAAATAACTTTATTTTTAAAGTTTATACAATCATTCACTTCCTCTTCTCTAAAACAAGTACCTAAGTTACCTACAATATATAACAGTTAGCTAGAAATAGCAGTGGCCATGTGTGACCCAAAGTGTGAATAACTGATTTTTAAAGATAGAATTCTTTGCATGATTTTCACTTAAGGCCATATCTTGTGGTGCAACCAGAATCAGAAGATAGCTTTTGTTAGTAAGCAAGTAGAGACTCAGAAAAAATAAAGGGATTTTGTTGTAATTTTAAACTCTTTAGAGTTGTCATAGGTACCAAATGGCCCAAGAAAGTAGTATCCTTAGTTAGAGCACACTTGGGACCATAAATAGGATTAAAACATTATACAGAGTACTTTGTACTGGCAAGTCTGGTAGTTGATAAAATTATCCCCCATAGACACACCTATGAGACCAGTGAATCTTTGAAGATATGAAGAAATCGGTCACCTCATATTTGCCAGAGTCAGTGGAGGGAAAGCAGAGGATAGGAAATAAGTGAACTTGGCTTACAGGCTTGGAGAGTTGACTACGAGGTACTGTTTTCTCATTGGCTGCACCTTTGGTTCATTCTATAGTTACGATTAAAAAAAATTAACATGTGAAATTGGGTGACTTGCTTTTGTATTAGGAGAAAATATATAATACTTGCTATCTAATAATGGGATATTTAAACTTCATGTTAAGAGTGTTCTGGTATAGCAACCTGTGATGTAGGAAAGTGTATCAGAGAAAGGGGCCAGGCAGTCTAGGCTTTAGCTCCATCCTGCCGTTCTGTAGCTGAGTCTCTTCAATTCTCTGTCCCTAGTTTCCTCAGCCTATCAAATGAGAATGGAGTGGATCAGCTTTTCCTGAAATGTGTGTTCTGTGCACTTGTTCTAAGAGATGGATATAGGAATGTAGATACAGGTATTTCCTTGGTCATATAAGTTGAAGAAAATCTTTGCACTGTATTCACACTCTCCGACTGAGAGAACCATAGGTAGGATGGCAGAAATGAAAGACAGTGCTATTGATGCTGAAACATCAATCCACAGCAGTTCCAAACTGGAGCTGTCCGAGCAAACTAGTTTGTATGGTCGATATAGTCAACACTAGCATGTTAGAAGCTCTGAGAAATCCTGGCATAAGCCTGTTTATGCGGGCCCAGAATTTCCTAAATTAAATTGAGTGTGTAGCAGTGTCTGTCATTATGGCCATCTTTCTCCTCCAATTCTGCGTCCTTAGCTCCCCACACTCCCTTTCAAAAGTGCCATCCTCAGCCTACATGTGGACGCCAGTTGGGGAAATGGTACACTACACAATCACTGAGTTAACCCTCTGGCTGTAAGTTGTATGATGATGTTTTGTACAATGAGCTTTTGAAGGTCAACACTGAATAATGCATTAAAAATGCAAAATATATATATATATATATATATATATATATATATAT